TGAAAAGTGTACAACCTTTCGTTGTCAAAGTTACAGAAAACTCAATAAGAGACAATATGGTTGCTGGCAATGTACAACGAAAAGAATGCACATTATTCAGTTGTTCATTCACTGAAGTGCTAACATCTAACTGGCGTTTTCTCAATATTTATCGCCAGGACCGACCAAGAAGAAAGAAACGGAAACTTGTTGAAATACTTTGAGCTGAGAATTCTATATTGTACCAAAATTATAATATTGAATAAAGCTAATAATAATATAAAAAATAATATGGTGTGTTGAAAATCAGCCATATTTAGTATTTGGTTATTTTAGTAAGTCTGTATAAGTTTCTATAAGATGTAAAGTGCTTTTATGAGTTTAGAAGAATTATGTTACTATTGTGCATTTATTATCTGAAATGTCCATGTTATCCAGTTTCTCCAACAACAAACAATTAAATTACAATGATATTTTACCTATGCAGGTTTCATTTATCGATTATAGAGAATACTTAATGTGAAATAGTTTAATAATTATAATATCGTCTAAAGATCCCCATCATATTAAGAGTCTAATATTTGAACGAAGAGTATTCTTTCTGATAAATTCTCTTCAGGTTCTATAATTATATATCCAAATTAATAATCCGAAAAATGGTCAGGTTAAGGGTAAAGTACACCGTTTAAAGCATGTGAATTTAGGATTGTTAAACGATATACAATAAAATTGTTAATGTTGATATGATTCATATAAAATGTTAACTTGGATCTGCATATTTGTGAAGTGAAATTTAAGATCCATGATCAGAATATATACGGGTCAAATAGGGTGAGAGAAATAATAGCGCAATTACAATTATATTATCATTCTACATTTTGCCTAGTTCTTTATAAAATATTTGTCATTTATGTAACTAATCATGTATCTCATATGCTTTCAGAATACATTTTGACTAAAATAAAAATTTTGCTAAATAATGTTTAGAATATTAAAGCTGATTTCGATAACTGAAATTTTGTTCAAAATGATTTAAAAATAAAACAAAGTTATAATGATAAATTTCACGAACTTGGTATATTAAATTAGGAATATTTATCAATGATGTACAGAGACTATGAAGGTGAGCTTTCCACTGATCGATTCTAGGAATAGACAACATTGATTGATAGTTGTATAAAATCACTTCGGTGACAATTTTATTTTGTATGGTGTTTCATGTGTCTCGGGCTGATGTGCTGTTAATCAACCACCATTCTTGTTTACGGCCACTATAAAATCTTTCATTTGTTTTTATTGTTGAGTTACTTATTATTAGCAAGTAGTATTATATAAAACGTGATGTAAGGAGCTCCTGTTTGAAAGTTGAAGCATTTAACGCATAATGGTTTGTGATATTTGACACCAAACGACTAAAATACCATACAATTTTCTCCTATGACGAAAAAACAAGATTTAAATCCCTTTGTACAGTATTTACCTGATTAACAAATGTCAGCTTATTAAAGTTATTCCTCTCACCGTAAATCAAAAGTCTTAATGAAGATATACAGTAATTTCGGAATCCGAAGTTAATATTTTATGTTTACATGTCAAGAACAACTGAGTTTGTCTTAATGAGTAGTACTAACATCTTCCGTTAAATAATACGATGTAAGATTGAGTTTTCATTCAACTGTAGGTGACCAGGACTACTAATAGTATTTTAATGAACATTTAGCTTTTCTATTGAAATTTTTGAAACTGAGGTATTCCTTTAACCTTCCTGTGTCTACACTGTACCGACCCCACTTTACCCTTCAAAATAATAAATTTGAAATACCGAAGGTAGAAACTTACGGAATCAGTAAAGATCTAATTTTTCGGTCTGTTAGTTTAAAATTAGGAACATCTTAGGCTCTGTTCGAGTTACCCACATTAATAGACCTTTTCCTGGGGAATCTGCGATAAATAAGTCACGGTCTCGTCGAGACATAACTAGCATTTTAAAAATACGCCCGTTAAAGCGTATTACTATATAATTCCATTTAATAAGCTTGACAGTTTAAGATTTATGCTCCGTTTAACCATTAATACGATTAGTGATTGCTTATAGTAGAGTGTTAATGAGTCAGAAAACGAATAAAATCTGAAGTATATTAGAAGCAACATATAAGACCTCGTGAAATGTATTTATTAGATATCGCAGTTGATATCCTTTGAACTTTTTATGAATTTTTGATATAGAAGCATCAAATAAATCGTATCACCTTTATGACAACGTTCCTCTCTATATATTTCTTTGTTCAATATCTTAGTGATTTCTAGCTTTCTGCAACTTATGATTTAATTTCTTTCTCGATTGTATAAAATATTCTAACAGTACGTTGCAAACGTTTTCCATATATACACCGTAAGTTTATTTTATTTATTTATCGATTGTTTCGATTTCCTCACCTTTTAGAAATAATGATTACAAGTGTGTTACTTTGGTGTATCAAAATTACGATTATATTTCAGTGGACATGTTAATGATAAACTAGATGTTATTGCAAGGGAATGTTCCTAGTGGAAATCGATTGAATTCATCTTTTTTCTACTAGTGATCGTGTGAATTACTTTTGATTCTTTCAAAAGCCTATCTGATCTAAAACGTTTACTTATTACTATACCAATGTTCTACATAAGAAAGTAAAACATGAAAATTAATTTAATAAAATGACTTTCGGTTGCGCACGAACGCTTAAACTCTAGACCGCTAGGCCGGCATCCAACGGTGTTAATATCATGGATGTGTACCGCTGAGAAGTCCCACAACAGGATGAAACAGCCGTCCAGTGCTTACAGGTTTTTCAGGATGGTCTAGCTTTAACTGACTCATGTTTTTAACTATAAAATCACTAAAAATCTCCACAAAACCCTTTCTGATAGTAATCGTCGTATGATCCCTAGAGACTGACTTTAAGATGTATTTCCTGGAGTTCCAGTGAGAATCCGTGATCAGTGGAATTCAACCAAGTCGGTTGTGAGATAGTAACTCACTGATGATAATGGTGGATGTGTCTCTCGATTTGATGGATTATTTAAAGTTAGACATTAACACCACTGGATGCCGGCTTAGTGGTCTAGTGGTTAAGCACTCGCGTGCGAGACTGATAGGTCCTGGGTTCGAATCTCACGATGTAGGGTCGTGGATGTGCATCGCTGAAGAGTTGCATATTAGGACGAAACGGTTGTCCAGTACTTCCAGGTTTTCCATGGTGATCTAGCTTTTATCGACTCATGAATTCAGTTATTAAATTACAACAATCTCCACAAAACCTTTTTCTGCTAATGAAATGAGCTTAGAAGAAAAATATCGGTTACTTCAAGGTTAAAAGAGATAACTGACTTAAAAGTTGTTTGAAAATATGTTGAAAATTTTCTCTAAATGAATTAATATTATGGACAGTTAAACAATGTAAGTAATTCATAAACAGGACCATACTGGATATTCTAATGATACTGAATGTTCATAAAATATATCAATGTTTACTGAGAAAATTTTCGAACAGCTGATTAAATTAGTAAATTAACATTGTACTTTAATTTAACATAATCATATGTTTGGTGTCAGCTAATGTTTGAAAGTATAGAACTAAATAAAACAAAACATTTTCCATGAATATCCAGTTCAAAACTGAATTGAACGTTTATAATAAACTAAAAGTTTCCTAAAGTAAATAACGAATATCTTTGGATGAGATAATCAACCGTACAATAACCTAGCTTGTTATTTCAATTCAGTATAACTTTTAAAGTAAGATACCGATATGTTGATCAAAAAATAACTTTTTTCTATATTCTGTTCTTAATTACATTGAACAAACAGCCTTAATTAGACATAAACTTCATTCTGCTTAAGTTTTGTTGCCATTTACTAATTCAAATAAAGCGTAATGATTATATAGTATATTTCATTATACGTAGTGTTAAATGAATAAGTCTAAGCTGTAATATAACAAGAAAAGCTACTATCTTCTCATCAAATAAGTTGGATATGAGTTGTTTTGAATTATGACTCTAACAAGCATTCGAAAAGCAGTGGTTGAAGTAATCGCAGCCGTAAAGTCTATATCTTTGTTTGCATAAAACCAGTGAAATTGTTATAAACTCGCTAACTTTAACAGAAAGAATAATCATTGAAGTAATATATAATAGTTATATAGAAATAAAAACTTCAAGTATTACTATGTGTTCTGTACAAACGGCAGTAATAGGTTTACTCCTGATTTTTCTACACACTTATCACAATAAATGTCATACTGTTCCTATGTCTATTCACATGTTAGGCTGGATGACAATTCCATCGACAAGAATTTCGCATAATCATTAAATGTTATGAATAAGATGCAATCAAAGTTTCGTTAATTTAACCACTGGTAAATGATTGTAATCAGTTGTTTCGATATAATTTTTGTATGTTAATTTGTAAATGCCTTTTGATTAATAATAACACAAATATCCTACTTGTTTTTTTCTAGCGTATATTATCAACGGTAAGTATATTAATCATGTTTTTTCGGACCTAATATTGCTTGAAATATCCTGGTTAAAAAAGACAGCTAAATTGTGTACACTTTGTTCAACCGATATGAATGTTATCACAAAACTTATCTTTGAATAATCATATGCTGTCTGTAATCATTCAAGTCATGTAGACTCATATTATAATTGATTGGTATTATTGTAAAACAAACGTCATGTGAAATGACATATAAAAAAAACTATCCTACAGAATGAAATATCTCGCCTGCTATCACTATCCTTGATAATATAATGGTGTATAGAGTTGCGAATCGTATAGTTTTGCACCTACATTACTCAAAATAATATCTCCTAATTTACCCTTTAAATAGTGGATCATAGACTATTTTTAGAAAAAAAGGAAATGGATTTGCGTGAAGTACTACTGTTTTTTAAGAAAGAAACATTTCATAAGTTAGCGGAATCTGAACTGAAATTGAAAGTTATTGGTTAGAATTAGTTTATTGTTTCAACTGTTATGCTGATTTCTTTGATGAACAAGTCAATATTGGTGGTGCAGAAACAGGACGTGAAGATTTGATCCATTCATATGATGGGTTCATATATTCCCAGTATGATGGAAATGATTCGTCGAAAACAAACTCACTTTCTATGAAATAAAAACGTGTAAAGCAAAATTAGATATAAATACCTCAGTTTAATATAAACATTTAAATGAGAAAATTTAAACTTGGATGAAAGAAATGTGTAAATGTAGTCCCAACTGCTAACTCATTGTATCAAGTTGAATACTCTATGAACTCTATTACTTTCTCTTAAATAAAATATGATTTTGTATCTCAACACTAAACATCAGTAAACCATGCCTAGCTTTCATATTATATTTTGTTTTAAATAAGCATCAAGACATTGAACAACTCAGTCAATGTTATGGATGGTGTAAAATTTCTATGGACTAAACTTTGCTTTCTAAATTAACCCTATTAATCTATCAGATGCAAATAATAGTTCTTGAAATTAATTGACAATCAATTACAGTTTAAATCTTTAATTTAAATATTCCATTCAACAGTAATTGTTTAGATATTATGATATTCAACAATTTCCTATTTCATAACGTACCGATATCTTTGTCCTCAGAGGTCAAGTTGTAAGAAGATAAAGATGAGCTAGATTCAAGTAAATTCAGTTGTTTTAATTCATCAATGTTTCTGCATGAGAAAATCTGACTGCATGTTGAACAATATAGGTAAATCGTTGATCCAGTTAAATTTGATGAATCACTAAATGTATACTTATCTTCAAAGTTTTTTAGGAAGTTTTCACCATAATCTTGATAGCTTCTAACTTCATATTTCGAAGAGCATAAGGAGCTAAATGATTTGGATAGGCTTAAGTGTTGACTGATTTCTTCAGATTGATTGTTTGAAGGGTTCTTTACTTGAGGAGACATTTCAAGGGTTTCCTTTTTCTGATTGGTGATAGTAGATTTTTCTGTATATGTAGTTCTATTTGTACCAGTATTACGTCTTGTTGGAACAGGCAGAATAAATTGATCGAATTGTTGTTTCCATAGATTTTTCAGTTTTTCAAATGAACATCTGAAAGTAAGTTAGTAAAATGCATTGAACTTTGACATACAACGTAAAAACGTTTACATTTAGAAATAAGAAAGTCTCATATATAACACTGAGTTGAATAATGCGTTTAATTTATAAATAATTTGCAATGCAACAAAATCTTATAAATTACTGTTACCTTTTGAAATACAGTTTTTATTCAGCTCCAAAACTGAGCAATAGTGTTTGGTAAAGACGATTATGTCACCGACCAAAGTTGGTCAGTTTTAGTAGTTTAACAGTAAGTGTATTTTCATGAAGTCCAACATTTGTATATATAAGATGTATTATTGTATGCCAATAAATCATAAGCTTTCACCTGTAGTTTCATCCCATTTATTTACATGTTTGAAATATCTTCCATTTTTTTTGAATATTTTCATATTCCCCTGATTAGTTCAAGTTTTAACTTATTCAACATGATATCTGCTTTCTTATCAATAAGACAAACATGTTTGTGTTTTTGCATTTCATAATGGAGTGTTACATTACTAGTGTAGTGAACAGAACACGGGTGGGGACAATCCAATGTATTTGACTCAGAATTACAGGACTTGTTAATAAAATCTAACAATCAAATAGTAAATACGTAATTTACAAAATGCCCATCAGTTGTCTCATAATGACTCAAACTTCATTGTTCTTGAATTTTCATACAAATTGCATTCTGTTTCCATTCTTTACTGTTTGATCCTCTTGTCTCCCTGCTACCAGACCTTCCGTTCACGAGTAACGTCATACACTACTTATGTCAGCATAAGTAGCACACACCACACTAGCGTTACACTTTTTTCTCTGTTGTTCACAACCTATAGACGTTACACAATCATTACTATTATGATTGTTTTTTTCGTATCATTTCGTATCACGCTACTAAAATATAATAATGACTTCCTACTAATCAAATATCGCCATGTTATAATGTTTATGAATATATAAACAAAATTCAACTAGGATATAAATCAGCGAAATTTCTTATTTTTATCAGTACGAGCACTACATTTCAGGATAGACATGATGTGATTATACTTTGATGCAAGATATACAATTTTAAGATGAAAGCTTTTTTAAAGGTTTTCTACTTTATTATAAACGACAGAAAAGTGTTGGAGGTGTTTTATAAAATAATGAAATTTCTCTTCATTTCAGATAATTATGTTTTCACTTATCTTCAATAGGTTCGGTTGGATGCAAGGAAATCAGTTATTTCCCTAACAGAGTAACTATATAAACTACACAAAACTGTTTAAGAAAGTAAAAATAACTTCACTGATTAAAATTGGAACAATTAATTTAGAAGTATTTTACTGAACAGATGATTCGAATATCCTGTATTAAAATTCTTGTAGATTCGTGGTTGGTTACCTTCAAGGAAATTCTTAAGTGAACCCAAGACGTTGTTCAACGTTCGCTAGTTAGAGCGGATGTCTATCCGTGATGAAAACTAATTTGAACCTGGAAAACGTTTACACAATGTGTATTTTAATCATTAAATTCATGTGTATTTTATTGAATCTCGTCTCAATCGAGAGAGATAGTTACGATAAGTAAATATATTTTACATTCATCTAAATCGCGGAATAGTTTTAGGGATAAAAGAATAAATACACTTTAATTGATGTAGGCTCAATCAAGAGATGAAAAATGATAAACCATATTTGCTTTAACTTGAAGTAGTTCATTATTATTAGATTGTTACAGTATTTTGATAGTAATTGATGGATTGTTATGATCTTTTAACGATTGTATTATCGTCAATAATCCAGTTTAAAATAAACTTTTACGAAATGTCGTGACAATTGGATAGTGACAAGTGATTGATCATTTGGTAACAGAGCGACTGACTGTCAAAATTAAAAATAACCTGTTTCCGTAAATAGTTTTATTGATTCGGTTTATCATTATAGTGCCATCATATTGAGCCAATGAGCGTATATCATGTTTGATAAGTCTCGTCGATCGAACGCTATATTCGTTTTCCTAAGCTATTCTGTTAACCCGCAGTCTAAAACTACACAGCGACTTGAACACCAGATAGAAGACACAAGTATGAGAGAAAATACTTTATCCCAACGTCCATTTTTGTACAGAAAATCAAGGGTATTTATAGATGTTAGAGTCTGTTAAATCAAAATCATATTTCAGCCAATCCGTTGACGACATATTATACTACCGACCAATGGTAGCACGCCACGCTGAAATTCTAGAACGTTCCACCACACTCTGATTGGCTAGGACCCTCCTACTCCTTTTGAGCCTCTGGAGGCTCCGTTGAAGTTCTCCGGAAGCCGGCTCAACAATGTTGTCATTATTATATTGTAAAACAGTATTGTTAAATTAATCAATTTTAATGAAGGCTGACATTACATCTGCATATGTATTGATTTTCAATTCAGACTTGATTACTTGAACTAGAATAGAATATTGAATCCCCTGAACAGACATACTTGGTAGTTATTGTGATGTATCGAGTTATCATGCTTAGTTTGTGTTTATTACTGAAACTAATTATCACCAAGTAATTACATCACCTGTGATTGCACAATCATTGGCAAACATATAATCTTAATTAACTGAACTATTACTAGAGAATAATCAAGAAGGTTAAATATTGTAACATAAAATGTATAATGGATAGATTTATGGCTAGTAATAAAATCCAGGACACATGTTTCACCCTATTTGGAACTCATCATCTGTATTAAGTTGAATCACACACCCAATGTCCACCCAGGGACTCGGACTCAGCATTTTCTAACTCTAGCCGCAAACGCGTTATCCATGGAAGACTAGAATTTAGTTGCAGACACATATGGCGAACGAGTCAAAAATGGGACCTCACTGACAGTCGCAAATCCATCAACTCTACAAACATTTGTAAAAATTGAAGCAATCAGCATAAGGTGCATATCTGTCGGCAAAGATTGATCGAAGTTCAATAAAGATTATCAATACAGGAAAACCTATATTCTTTTAAATGATGGCATAAGTAACATTAAGGGTTTACACATATTCACATTTTTTCCATAAAATGTCATAGTTTGTACATCTACATTTTCAAGCATTATCTTCAGTTAAATATCGATGAGTCTAGAACTTTAACTTTGTTCTTAATTTGAACTAAACAGTCTAAATTAACAAAATCAAATTGTTATAAACTGTAATTAATAATAAAAATATGAAGTGCCAAAGTGATTTATTTCACTGTACAGTTCTCAGTAAAGACTTTCTGTGACTAATGTCTTCTAAATAGGTTCAAATTTCGATTTGTGATGTTTAGAAGAAATTGACAGCTATCTCCAAACTTAGGTTGGTTGATTAAAATAATCCATTACCGACGCATATTTAACATTGTATATGAACTCATGTGTTTGAGTGACTCTGACTTTTAGTCAGAAAGCCAATTAATCATTATTAAATACTAGATGATATGACAATAATTACTAATAAGTCATGAAATAAAATATATGCTCATCTGTGCCTTCAAGCCATATTCTAATGTATTACTAATGTTTCAGCAAAATTACCTAACACAAATTATTATTTTCAGAAAGAAAAGAATAACGTTAATTAATGACTTTTAAAAGCAATTAATTGTCAATCATTGATGAATTCATAATTCACACGACCACACAAAAACGTTACTATCTTTGATTTCAACCAACTTTTAAAAAATATTTGACATCATACTTGACAGTCAAACAATCAAAAAACAGAAATGTTCACATTTTAAATGGTTAAAAATAACCACGCACGCAATAAGTTGACTATTTTTAAACGATCGTGTGATGTGTACCAATGATATCGACAGATATAAGTAGTATGTATCATCAATCGATAGTGAGAATGCCTGACGGTAGACACTTAAGAAGATTGAAGAAAATAGAACAAGATCAGAGAATGATTGGTATGGAAATAGAGGAACAATCAAGTCTGAGATGATTGATTGACGTTTTGCTAATGAAATATTTATTGTCTAGTTTTCAGATTTTATTCAAACATTCTGTAATTTTATGTTCAAAAACATATGATTGTCCCCAATGTTGTTCTCGTTCACTACAAAAGTAATATTGATGTTATTCTGTCTGTTGAGAATATAGACATCATACATTCATTTATAACAATTTAAACGAAATGAAAAATAATAATAAACTAATATTTAGTCATAATCCTCAACAAACCAAATATTTTAATCATATGTTTTATCATTCAAAAGTTTCAATATTTATAAATTTTATGAGAAGGGGTTTTGTGGAGATTTTAGTAATTTCAATAGTTGAAATCATGAGTCAATTGAAGCCGTTTCGTCCTAGTATGGGACTCCTTAGCACTGCGCCATCCAGTGCTTCAAGGTTTTCCATGGTGGTCTAGCCTCAATTGACTCATGATTTCAATTGTTGAAACCAATGAATTTGTCATGCGATGTATTTTGAAAGTTTGATATTTCATGAAGTGAAATACAGTGCTATACCTACGGTTAAGAATACAAATCAATTAAATTTAGTATCGTAGATGGATACATTTATTTGTATTACGTCCTTTAAGTTGAATGATTCCACTGTGAAATATTGATTATTATCTTGAACAATATCATAACAATCTAGTTTGGATAGAAACAAGTTTATACACTAAGGTTTAAATTAACAAATAACGCTCAATATTAAATAAAACAAAACTAAGAATATTAAAAATTTATCATTTTGTTGCTTACTCATTTTTTCTCATTTCATAACGTTTTGAAAAACAAGATCGATTTGCATGATCTGAGAATAACATAATTATAGGAAGTAATATATATTAATGAAACTTAAGAAAAACATTGTTTAGTTGGTTTACTGAAATATATTTCTAATTATATATGCACAATTAAACTACTGGTAAGTGTAAAACTACATAAACTAGTTCTTTGTTCCTAATTTTTTTTTTAAAAAAATTTACTCCATCTAATACACAAAGCTCAATTAAAACTGTTAGGAATGACTTGTGATTTGATCAATTTACGTTTCATTTTAGAATATGGTCTAAACAATATCGATTTTCATCATTAACAGGAAGAAATCGTCATCGTCTCTTAGGTAGTAAAATGATTAGAGAATAATTGAACTATTACATAACATTCAAATGTAGGTTAAGAATTGTCTTTAATAAAAAAATGTTGATTGCTTTTTTCTAATTGATATTTCGAATACTTATTTAAGGTGATTTGAATTAAGTTTTAGGATGAAATCTTTTGACCATTAAAAGATATCCACGAATATTGAGTTTGTGCATTTATACGTTCTACTAATTTCCAGAGGAATCAAGTAGATGCTTTTCGAAAGATGACTAGTGTGAACTTGAAGAACATAGAACATCAAAGATAACAGTTCTTCTATCCTAGTATGAAACAGTGGTCTGCACACAAGGTCTCACATGGATTTAATCAAAAACTCACTTTGGTACCATTGAGCTAGATTCTAATAGTTCAAATTCTTAACCTAGATTAAAAGCATCCTATTTTAGTAATAAGTAATCTTCTTAATTCTGAAATGATTGAGCTCCGTTGTCTGATGTATTGGTGTTTTCAACGGTTATGCAGATGATTCCAACACTGAACTTAAAATGTCCAAAAAGTGGATTACTCTACTCATGTCTTCTTTTCAAATGAAACGTTTTAAGCATAACGACATATATTTATCATATAACTATTTGCATCTGAACAAGTTTGAAATGCTAAAATTAATTTCATCCTTTTGATTTAGAAAATTTAGAAAATTGATAATTTACTCACCAACATTTGTCACATGTTTGTTCTTCTCAGATGTTTCAAACGGTGAATTGAAACAGTGAACATGCCTGTAGTGGTTCACATGACAAGAATCTAAGTGGATAGTCTGTGTTAAATACAAATAGAATAAACAACTATTAAACACTGAAGAACCTTTAATAGGTTTCCCCAAGTTCTGTTTATTACACGTTTTTGTTTCAACTGGTCGATCTATCAGAACATCCTTCTGTTGTCGAATTGTTTTATTCAAAACCTTATTTGTATTACATTGATTTTGAGTTGTATTTCTTTTGCCACTGTGTTTCTTAAAACGAGTTGTTGAATATTTTCTAAATAACAAATAGAGAGTAATAATATGATAATAACTACCTCCTTTCTAGTTTGTTTAATCTATTTATCTCTCCCGCAGTCATATCAAAATCTCTTAAATGATTTTCCTACAATATCATTGAAAAAAAGTGAAGATAATTATGTTTTTGACAGGTTTATGCCTAATCAATTAAGTAAAATGACATTGAAATATCATTACTATAATATCTACAAAAACCCAATCTGATATTATTCAACATATGCTCACTAGTGACTGGCTGCAAGAGGTATATCCTGGAGTTCTAGTGAGAATCAATGACCAGTGGAATTCAATCAGGTCTGTCGTGAGGTAGTAACTCGCTGGTGACAATGGTGGATTTGTCGCTCGATTTGGTGGATTAGTTTAAGTTAGATATTAACACCGTCGGATGCCGGTCTGCATAGTGGTCTAGTGATTAGGCGCCCTCGCGCAAGAATGACAGGTCCTGGATTCGAATCTCGCGAGGTGGGATCGTGTATACGCACATACCAAACTCTAAATCACTTAAATGTATGTGCACTCAATAAAAATATCATTCACGTAGATATCAAAAGTTGAATCAGTACTCTTCATTTATTTTATTTTGTTGGTAACTTCTATGACTATCAACAAATACCACAGATTAGCTTAAGTTTTAGCTAACTTAGTGGTAAATGATCCTGAACTCCATATTGTGAACATACATTACCATTCAAAAATTCACTATTAACATTTTAATCTTCTATTGTATAAAATTTCATACACTTAGTTCCATTCATCATTTTGAATAGAGCAAGAGCAAAGATTCTAGCAGAATATCATGAATTCATTTTTATTTCGTTTGCGTCTCGTCAGCTGCTTACGACCTATGATAATTAAAATTATAATTATGAAATGGGTTTAGATTACGTACATGAAAGAGTTTAGTTGAAAGTTATGTTGAAAACACATTAGCATGGTATAGAAAGTACGTAAATAAATTCAATACACTGAACATTCTACAACATTGATTACGACAACAGTTCAAAGGGCCAGAAACAAGTGATTACATAATAAGTAAACACTGACAGAAATAAAATGAGTAGAGCTAGTTAATAAAATAAAATTACTAGTTTGAGAGATGGTTGAAATAAATTTGTTTGTTAAATTTATTTATATCCTTGCTATACCATACTAATATGTCTTCAATCTAACTTCCAACTAAACCGTTTCATGTAAGTAATTTAAACCCATTATGTAATTATGATTTAAAATAGCACAAGTTGTAAGCAGCTGACATGACCCAAATGAAATAAAATGAATTCATGCTATTCTGCTAGAATCTTTATTCTTGCTCTTTTCAATATTGTTATAAACTTGATTTTATGATGAAAACAATATTTAAAATAGCCTATAAAATATTGCCTAATATTACATAGTATGCTTAATGTCATTTAAATAGTTTAGATTATGAGTTTGGTTACAATTGACTCATGATCTGAACTATTGAATTTATTATCAGAAGGGGATTGTGGAGATTTTTAGAAATTTTCACAGATTGAAATCATGAGTCAGTTGAAGCTAGACCACCATTGAGGAGTCCTATACTAGGACGAAACGGCCGTCCAGTACTTCCAGGTTTTCAATGGTGGTCTAGCTTCAACTGACTCATGATTTCAATCTGTGAATATTGAATTTATTATCATATCCATAAAACCCATTTTGATATTAATTTTATTTCGTTAAAGAAACAATCGTTTAATGTACAAAACTCTTTCTGATAATAAACAAGTAATACAATTCAATAAACTAAGTAATAAGATTATTGTCTTACAACTATAATATCAACTCATGATTATTTAACTAACTTTTGAATTCATCCAGTTATATAATGTTAATTTAGTTGATGTATATTGAATGTTATATTTTGATGTAATAAATTGTTTATGTAAACACTTTTTTCTAGTGTACATACCAATATTTATTTATATTTATATTAATACTGTACAGCATAAAGTATTATTAATAATAGACTGATTCATTTATTATTGAATAGTTGAAAAGAATGTTGTTTCATTGAATTTATATCTATTTGTCCTAATTTCTGTGTTTATATATTATGAGCATAATTAAAAGTACTATATATATATAGGTAGATATATAGATAGATAGATAGGTAGATGGATAGAATTCAGTTAATTATTGTTTAAAAGATCACGATATCATCGATCACCTGTTATCATTTACAAAGTATACGTTTTTGTTTCTTACTGAAATCTCACAAAACTTTAGTGTATTATAACCTTGATTTGTTCAAAGAGATTGAAATGTGAGTAAGAAATAAGAACTTATGTACTAGTATTTGTTTACTGATGAAAATTACCATAAAATATGTGATTCACATTAATATTACTGATTTTTAGGAAGAATTTTTTTCATTACATTTTTGAAAAATATGATATTCGTTGTTAATTAATTCAGTCAATACATATTTTTAAAAAAAAAGGATGGTTAATCTACAGAATATTTATATCGTAAGTAAAAGTCACAATATACTGAGAATGTTATTAAAAGTCTCCTAAGACTAGCGTTATATCATAATTGATTGATCACAGCGTGGTGATAAATGTCATGTGTGTCAAGTCCTTCTTAGTGCAGATCAATTGCTATTGACCAAGTTGCAATGTGGCCACTAGTCTAGGTGACTAGACATTGTGTGCACTATGTTGAGATAAGATAGTGGTTGGAGATAGTCAACAGGAAACCCTAGACTCGCGTTGGTTGCGGCCTGGACAGCTCAGTGGTAACGTCTCTGACTATGAAGCTGTGTGACATGGGATCGAATCCGTCAGGAGACACGAGTTCCCTCAAGATTACAGATACACCTTGCTGATGAGTGCTGAGTAGCATAAAATCCGGATTCAGGGTTTCCTTTTGACTACCTTCAACCACCATCTTACTAGCGTTATATGTTTATGCATTCTGTATTCATATAATATCACTTCTTATTTTTCATGAATCTATCAGTTCTGACTAGAAGCTTTTATTGCATAAATTTCAATCTTGTCATATATTCATAATACTAACTTCATTTTTCTCAAATGGTTAATCATTGTTAGGGATTATCTTTGTTATAATCTATAAATAACTAATACGAATCATTTAATATTCTAAATTGATCAAAGTTTATTTTACTTTTACATTGTAAGAAAGTATGATTTTTTTCATTAAACTAAATCCATTGTCTTCAATTTAGAAATTTTCAAAAAATGCCACTAAACCAAAAAAACAAACTGTGTTGATGGATAATTTCTATAAGAACTATTGATAAAAATTTTTTATCATAGAAAGTAACATTCTTATTATATACACATAGTTCCCTTTATTATTTTAAAGAGAGTAAGAACAAAGGTTGGTGCAGAATAATATGAATTCATTTTATTTCGTTAGGTTCTCATCAGCTGCTTACTACCTAAAATATTTGAAATTCAACGTTATTATAGATATTGACATACTTATACAACAGAGGGCGATGAAGGATGAATATATGTAACATAATGTGGTAAAGATTTCGTTAGAGTTAATGAGGTCATAAAATTTTTGTTTCGAATATATAGAGTTTGGGAGGGAAGGTTCCAGAAAATTGAAATAGTGATTAGAAATCATGAAATTAAAACACATTAGACGATTATGTAATGAAGTAACTGAAAATAGATTAATGTTAATAAAGAGAGATATGAATTGAAATTGGTCAGTTATGAATGATGTAATTATAAAATTCAGAAAGAGTTGAAATGACGTAATAAAAAGAAATAAAATAAAAGGGGGTTGGGTGAATGTTACTAGGGCAAAGAAAGATTTATTACTGTTTCTTTTTGTATACAAAGATCTGATTTTAAACGTTTGATTGCTATTGCTTCCGCGAATTTCAAAAGGTTTGAATTTGATTGTTTGTTGATCACCTTGAAGGACTTCAGTATATCGACTTCGTGTCCTGTGTCAAGGAGATGCCTTGCGACAGCGCTGCTAAATGCTTTTAGTCCGTTTAAAACCAGATCTTTGTATACAAAAAGAAACAGTAATAAATCTTTCTTTGCCCTAGTAACATTCACCCAACCCCCTTTTATTTTATTTCTTTTTATTACGTCATTTCAACTCTTTCTGAATTTTATAATTACATCATTCATAACTGACCAATTTCAATTCATATCTCTCTTTATTAACATTATTCTATTTTCAGTTACTTCATTACATAATCGTCTAATGTGTTTTAATTTCATGATTTCTAATCACTATTTCAATTTTCTGGAACCTTCCCTCCCAAACTCTATATATTCGAAACAAAAATTTTATGACCTCACTAACTCTAACGAAATCTTTACCACATTATGTTACATATATTTATCCTTCATCGCCCTCTGTTGTATAAGTATGTCAATATCTATAATAACGTTGAATTTCAAATATTTTAGGTAGTAAGCAGCTGATGAGAACCTAACGAAATAAAATGAATTCATATTATTCTGCACCAACCTTTGTTCTTATTCTTTTTATAGATAAGAAATGAAGATTTACATTTACTTATTACTTAGATACTTAAATAGTACATATATCATAATGATCATTTGATTGCATAATGATTCCTTTCTCTCTTTCATAAATGTCACAAGACTCATTTAATTTAAATAGTATGTTTCTATATAATTTTGGCATTGATGAACAAACTGCTCGATTAACTATTTATTAAGTTTGACTTAATTTAAAGAAAAGATATTCACTAATTGTTTAGATGATCTGCATTTAGGTATATATTTTCTTAATACTACTAACTTTACTAAATCAAAACTTGATGTAATTTATCTAGTGGAAAATTAAATTTAACAATAATTGTAAAATGAGAAGGTGTTGTGTGGAGATTTTAGAAATTTCATTAGTTGAAATAATGAGTCAATCAAAGCTAGGCCACCATGGAAAACCTGGAAGCACTGGACGGCCGTTTCGTTCTAGTATAGTATCGTAAACGTTATAGTTGTTAGGACAAGAGAGTAGCATGTGATTATTATTTATGTAACGATATTCTTTCCGAGATAGTTTTGTTTATCTATATTTTTGAAGGCACCCTATACATGTATATAATTATTGATTACATATACTAAACAAGATAAGAATGAAAGTTTTGTTTCAGTGTTTAATTGTTGAATCAAATTTGTCAAATAGTAATCCATCAATTCTAGTTAAGTAATATGCCCATATTTAATAAAACATTTATTATTGGAACTATATTTCGATAATTACATTTCACTTACCACACAGCACGGAAATTAGTTTTAGCTTAACTATCAGAGATACTTTCCTTTTAAGGTGTGATACTGATAAATAAGTAAGTACTTGACTAGCTAAATAAAAATTTATACAATATAAAAAAATAATGAATAACATTAAACCTTCGAAGTTAACTCTACTTTATCTCAAGTTTGAATATGAATAACTTTTATCTAAGCAAAATGTTGTTATATGATAATGCATTCATGTTAAAGAAAGTCCGGCGAGACTATAATTCATGGACGAGCCAATCATAAGCGTTTGAGGGATTTCAAGGACACAGCACCAACTTCAATACTTTATGCTAACGTACGATCGATTCACAGGGAATTTTGTACGAAACGTGATAATTGAGCAGCTATAACAAATAAAACGACGAGACTATAATTTGTGGACGAACCAATTAGGTATAAGATAACAAATCTCGGATTTCGGTGCGAAAGCCTTTTATCCATTTGGCCAAATAGTTTTGGCATTATAGGTAATGTCAGTTCATGATGAAAACCCTATATCTAATCCCCAATTAAGGCGAATTACGACAATTAGTACGAACTGGATAATAAAAGCACCTGTAACACTGGCTGCAGCCAGCTACTACAATATATACGAATGATTGGAGAGCGTACAGACTCATACATAGGCTTGGTTATGTGCATCTTGTCGTTATCAACAAGTGGCATTTTGTGTACTCAACAACCGGAGTGCACACAAGCAATGTTGGAGCTATGTTGTCGAGACTGAAGGAGTTCTTGCGACCCTATCATGGCACCAGAGGATGACTATTCTGTAGCCGTATGGATGATTTCTTCTCCTGCATGCATTACGATTTTGGAACCTCTGGACCTCTTTTTAACCATGTCAAGTTTTTCAACCACGTATAAAAAGTGTATTCACTTTATTTCCATGGTTTTGTATAACATCTTTTTACTATATACTGACTGTTTGCCGATTGGCTAATATTTCTCATGGTCACTTAAGATTCGTTCGAAGGTCGTCCATAAATTATAGTCTCGTCGAAAACCTATATTACAAATTAATGCTTCTGAAGTTCAGCTGTTCTCATTTCTGTTTCGTTGTAATGTTCTCAGTAAATCTACATATTAATATCTAGTATGATTTAGTATCATATCATTTCACCTAGATAGTTAAAATATTTAGCTTTGAAAATATTACATTACCTAAGGTACTAGATATTACGAATTTAATTTCGTATATCGTTTTCTGCGACATTTACACACATTTTTATACGTTCGATTGTTACATGGTACAAAAATGATCAATTTCAAACGTAAAACCTCAAACCTTATTGCCTGAAATATCACTACATTAGTATTGTCACATAAAATGACATGTTTGAAAATAAAGTGTTTCAACAATTTATCGCTCTATTTTCCTATCGTTTTTAGTTTTCAAGCAATTTGGAGAATCTGGAGTTAAAAATAATAAAATTGACATTTGGATACTATTTCTTTTGTCTTGATATTTTGGTGTTAGTTATATAACACATCTGTTCTTTTCACTTCCGGTAGTTAATTTACCTTTTAAACCGTACACTAAGTCCAAAATATTTAAATAAAGATGGAATCAATTTTAAGACCTTATAATCTCTATTGCGATTCATACATTTCAATAAATATTTAGGGTTAATATG